CATTGCTGATCAATCAAATTTCGATGGCCCTGAATCTTTTTTCTTGAACAGGGAAAACTGTAGGCTCGTAAAATGTTCCTATCAAAAGTTATTTAAAAATCAGTGAAGCACATTATATTTTAAAATGGATAGTAGATAACTTATAATTTCGAATGATAATTCAAATTTTTTTGTTTATAAATGATAATCAGAAAATAAGTGTCAGTATCTCAAGCAAACATCAAAAAGTATTGTTACTATTTCTTCTTGATTATTCCTGATCAGATTACCCCTACTGCTGGATCGTTAATGAATAGGAACATTTTCGAGATTGAATTTTAAGAAAAAAAACCTATCTATTAAACTTAAACGGCTACAGATATGTTCATTTTCTCTTACTATCACGGCTCCAATCAGCTTCTTGTTGTTTATATCGAACTGAGCGATCACTATAATTAATTGTTTCCGGTTCAAGTGTACGAGCTTCAAGTTCAACTAAATTATCGTCCAATCGTAAATTCCATTTTGACATATATTGACGACAACGAGGTGATCTAAGAAGATAAAATCAAGTTAATATTTTCAATTATTTATTTTTCTATCATACGTATTAATTGTATTAACCATATCGATCAATGATTCATATCGAGGAGTTGGTCCAATATGCGTATAAGAAGCCAATTCTTTCATAAGATTAAAATCGTTTCGCATTGAATCCGAAATACCTAAAAAAAATGAAATATAAAAACAAAAAATCTTTGTTTTTTTTTCAATATAAATCCGTTTACCGGTTTCACGACAAAATTCTGGAATTAATAAAATTGGTCCTGTAATTCCAGCTCGTCGATTTCGTCGTGATGGTTTTGATACAAGTAATGGTTGTGTATGATCAACTATTTGTAATTGATAACGCTAAAATAAAAAAGACAAGAAATTTTATTTAAAAAAAAAATTTCCTTTTATCATTCAAACTTCTTGATAATAATCAATTAATGACATATCTTTTCCATCACGTCTTGAAAACGTTATTTGAGGTGTTTTATCCCATGCAATATCATCAATTTTATATGTTTTATGATTATATCTATTTTAATAAGAAAAGAAAAAATTTAATATTCTTAAGAAAAAAAAAATAAAGTTTTATTTTCTTTGTATTTACGTTGTAATAACAATTTGTCCAACTAATTCTCGCATTGCTGTATCTTGTGCAAGTTTATATTCTTGAAATTGTGCAAAAATATTTTGTAAACGTTGATATATACTAACATTATTAATCACTTTATGTGATACATCAACATTCATCATTAAAACACCTTCATAAACATTAATAGCTGTTTCAAAACCGGGAAATAAAGTTAAACTGAATCGATCAATATCAATTTTTTTATCAAATTGATAATATGATCGACCAATCATTCTCATACCAGCTAATTCTAATAATCTTTATAAATAAATAAAAAAAAAAGAAATGAAAATTTGAAAAATTTAAATGTTCTTTTTTCATTTACTTTCTCATGATTAAATTCGATAAATGGAAAAAATTCGGTGATTCAGGACCTTGTACAGCTACTTTATGTAATTGAATTGTGATATCTTGACCAGTGGCTTCATGAAATGATTTTGTTTCATGATCCTAAAAGAAAATAAAATCAATCTCTTTATTTAATCAATCAACACTTACATCACCAAGATCATTAAATGAATATAAAGTTTGTCCATCAAATGCAACATCTTGTAAAACACCTTTATGTTGTGCTAAAAAAAAAAGAAAAAAAATCTAATATTAAAAACAGATACAGATTAAAAGAAAAAAAAACAACCAAGTAATTCTCGGCGTGTTTTTCTAGAATCAATATTATCCGGTATAAATGTAACATGATATTGATAAAGTAACCATTGTGGTGCCGATAATATTCGAACATAATTTGCAATTAATGGAATAAGTTCTCCTGATGTTCCTTGTTTTTCTGTTCCTGGTTCACGAAAACTAACACGTGTTGGATCAACAACACGTCTTTGAGATTCATCATGTATTGGTGGTCCACGAGAACGACCTTCACGATGTTCACCAATCGACATTCCAGCCATATGTGGAGCTAATTTATCAAGACCACGACCTCTAGGAATACTCATTGTACCACCACCACCAATTCGACGTATTGCACTTTGTTGTACGGCCGGTGCAGCTTCTGCTGTTGACCATTCAGATGTTGGTGTTTCACTAGCTGGAGGAACAGTAGGTGTTGCTACTGATGAAGCTACAGCTGATGTTATTGGTGCCTTATAAAATAATTATTAGTTAATAGAAAACATTTAATAATGGGAAAAAATTACTTCACTAGTAGGTGCAGTGATACCAGCAGCACCGCTTGGTTCACTACTTGTTTCACCTGGTACTACAGGACGACTACGACCACGACCACGAGCACGGCCACGCTCACTCATAATGTCTAACGATAAAGAATAAATAAATAAAAATTATATGCGTCGATCTATTTATATCGAAGATAGCAACGACAATAAAAACAACATTTGCCTCTATATTTTCTCTATTTCATTTGTATCAATCCATGTTGTTTAACCCTCGATCGAAAAGAAATACTATATAGTTAGAAATTTGTTGTTTACATTTTCTTTTTTTTTTTTTTATTCTTCTCTCTATCATAGAAGATTTCATATAGAAAGAAAGAAAAATACAATGAAGAAATTAACATCCAATAGATCGAAAAAGTAGATTTATTTGCGTACTTATATTTAATAGAATATGTTATTATTTCTCTTATTAAACGATGAAGATGAAAAGTATTTGTTATGTTGTTATCATAAGTTGAAGCTAAAAAATCTAAAAATCAATAATGTAACCTTTCAATAATAATAGAAACATTGCTTTCATGTTAATATTAGAGATGTGAATATAATAAAAATGAAATGATATATTGTCATAGAAAAATGTTGTTTTTTTTTTATTATTGTTAAATAAATATAAAATTTATTTAGACGACGATAGGAAAACAAATATGTAATTAAGTAATAATATTAGGTTTCAATGTATTGTTGTTTTACTTTGAATTTGTCTATTGGTCGGTTATTTACAGACGAAAATCGATCTGTTGTTAATGAAACTAGATTAAACAAAGAACAGTATAAGTGAACAAATAATTTTTAGGAATTCATTAAAAACTTTCCGATATACGAAGGGAAAGAATGTTAAAAATCCATAAAAATTTTTCAAATCGGTCAAATTCGATATATTCTTATACTTTTGAATTACTATCCAGTTCAAAATATAATGTGCTCAACTGTTTTTAAAATAACTATTGATAGGACCATCATAGAGACTGGCAGTTTTCACCATTCAAGAGAGAAGACTCGGAGGCTATCGAAGTATGTCGAAATTTGATTGATCGATCAAAAGAATTCTTAATAGAGATTTTTGAAACTGATATTCTGAAGTTATTTCCCTTCCTATTCAGATTCTTAATAGAACTAATCGATAGAAAAAAATTCTTCTCTTTCGACTTACGTAAGATTGACATTCCTAGCTTGTTTTCTTCGAGAGTTGTAAGACCTTTCCTGAGACTCCTGATTTTAGCCAATTGACGTGTAATCAGGTGGAAGAGCAACTAGACAGAGGAAATTCATCGTTCTGAGTCGAACTGATCTGATCATATTAACGCAATACATTCGACAAGTCGACTCCTTCATTAGATGAAGGTTAATTGTACTATTTTTTAGAAATATTGAGATAACAGAGTCAGATCAGTTTGAACCCGAAAAACTAATATCATCATGTGACTCAGCATTATGAAATACCCTGCCTACCTACTTTTTCGGGTGATTACAGTTCGATTGGCTGAAATCGGAGGGATCTCAGGAAAAGTCTTATAACTCTTGAACGAACCAAGCTAGAAATGCCGACTTTGTATAGATCGAAAGAGAAGAATTTTTTCTATCAATTAGTTCTATTAAAGGTCTAAATTGAAATAGAAATAGCTTCACAATACCATTTTTGAAAATCTTCACCAAGAACTGACCTGATCGATCAATTGCTGAATCAACCAAAATTCGATGTACTTCGATGATCTCAGATCTTCGCTATTGAATGGTAAAAACCACAATTTTCTATAATGTTGCTATCAAAATTGATATAAAACCTATAATCGAGCTTTTAAATTGCGGAATAATATTAAATTTATATGAATCTATACATGGATGTTCGATATACAGATGTTATTGACCAAGATAGTTCCACAAATACTAACGAAGGAACATTTTTTTATTGATCGATCGATTTCTCATTGAAAGTTAATCGATTGTAAGTTATTAACTATGCTGATTTCGAATATGATTATGAGAAGTTTTCTCAAATCTTTATATGCTAGCTTTCTGGACTAACAAACTTTTCGCTAAAAATTGCTTTGACTCTGTTCAGATGATAGAGCATATCGAGTAGCGTAGAAAACAGTAACTTTTTCTATTTCAAATCGTTTTCTTTTCGCAGAGCACATAGTTATTTAATTTCATACAACACATTCGTATCAACATTTCAATATGAAAATGTTCAAGATAATATTATTTTATTTAAAACTCATTGTTGGAAAATAGAAAAGATTATTATTGTTTTATCGACAAATCGATATGTTCTATAATCCAAGTAGATCAAAAACGATTTTAGCAAAGCATTTGTTAGTCTGTCAAACCAACGTATGAAGACCTGAGAGAATTTCTCATGGTCATATTCGGAAACAACATGGTCGATAACTTACGATCCACTAGCTGTCGATAAGAAAGTGATTGATCAGTTGAAAACATTCCATTGTAAGTTGAAACAATTTGGGGTGGATTTAAAATACTACCTAAATTCCATTCAGGCATTGTAAATGAACTAAATATAAGTTGACGATTGTCGATTGATAATTAGAAAATGTTTTTCTTTTTCTTTAAAATGGCGCATACCACATGAGCACTTACTGTTGACAGTAACTTGATTGGTCAATTTGTCTACATGATGAATTGAATAATTATTTTTTATTTTTATTAGTCGTAGTTAACGATGAAGTAGATGACGTTGATGAAGAACTATGATTATTGCTTGTCGTGATACTATTTGAAATGATTGACAATTGTTTTTGAGGAATAGATCGTCGATGACAAGGTTGTAAACTTGTACTATAATCATAAGATTGTCAAAAGATAATTTATTGTAACTTTTATACATTTTTTTACTTAGTTGATGTCGACGTTCGGCTCGTGATTGAATTTAGCTCGATTCGAATAAAATCATCTCTATCGTTTTGATTTCGATTATATTGTCCAGTTAGTTTAATTGTTTGTTGTTTAGATTGATAACTTGATGATGTACTAGTTGAAGTAGATTTATTAGGTTTTTGACTATTCGATGTTGTTGTTGTTGCTGTTGTTGTTGAACTTGACGAATTCGAAGAAGTACTATTGGTTGTTGTCTCAGTGCTATTACTAGTCGATGATAAACTAGATGAAGACGAAGTATCTCGACTATCGGAAGATGAATCGAATCTATTGTTTTTCTTAGAAATTTTATCATGTTTAGAAAATGGAACAGTTCTATTCATCTAAAAACATATTTATCTTCTCTTAGATCAATAATAGGACTATAAATTTACTGTTTGTTGATTAGCACTATACCAGAAAAGTCCCATATTATTTGGTGTAGCCACTGGTAATGAATATTGCTTTGCAAGTATTTTAATAGCTGAAAGACGTTTTGGATAATTATAGTTTGGTGTTTGTGCATAATATTTATGTTGATTAGCATTGAATGATGTTTTCTCTAGTGTACTATTAGTAGTTGTTATTTTTGGTATACCACCAACACTATGTACACTTTGAATATTTTGTTTTTGTTCATTGACCTGTTGTCGTATTGATATTGGGTCAGATAGAGATGATAGGGATTTATCTTTTACAAATGATGAACGACTATCAAATGGTATTGTGAGCACTGATAAACGAAAAAGTATATAAAGCCGTAGTTGTAAAAATTCAACTTCACTCACAAGGATCTTTTGATAATTGTTTTATTTCTGGTGAATTGATAGTTGATATAGCTTTTATTTGTTTAAAATCATAATGTAAACCTTGCAATGAGAGTTGTATTTTATTATTAGTATTTTCTTGATTGGCAATAATGTTATCCTGAATATTGATGTTATACGGATGTTTTGATTGGTATGATTGTTCCATATGAATACATTTAGTATGTGAGAGTTTAACTTGATCTCCACCACTAATACTTCTCTTTTTATTTTCTCGTTGAAAATTTTTAATTGACTGTTTAACAATGGGTGCTCTTTGTTTCGATGAATATCGTCTAAATAAACCACGTAATAATGATGATCGTTTATTTGTATTTGATAATGTTTTTGTTGATTGTGCAGCATTATTAAACGACGTGAAAATATGAGGACATCGTTGTTGTGGAATTAACAAACTCAAATATGAAAGATTATCCTACGAATGGATGAATTCTTATCATGATAAAGATTACATTGAGATGATACATACATAAAAAGATAAATCTGTATCATTAGAAGATGATGAATCTGTTGATGGTACAAGTTCATTTATTTCTTCAATGCTAAATGTTACTTTACTAAAATGACAAATAAAAAAAACTAGTGCAACGTTGTTAAAACTTCAGAAGTGGACAGTTGGATCAATCCTTGGAGAAATTGTTCCAGTTTATGTAGAAATGATTCATCTCACATAAACTCACACATATCAAGGAGAAATGAACGAAAAAAAAAACAATATATACATATATCTAGCAATCGCTATTTCATGCACCATATTTCTTTTTTTTGACTTCTGCTTATCAAGATAGAAATGGATGGATAATTTCTCTTTGAATAATTAACATTTCTGCTGAAAAAAAAATCCATTTTAACCAGAATGTCTCCCTACGGTAAAAAAGTAATATGATTGAAATCTCCTTAAGTCTTTTTGACTATTGCTTATGAAGGTAGAAATGGATCAATGCTTTCTCACTTGTTACTATTCGATTTTATCGAGTGTAAATGATCTGATATAATGGATGCTGTTTCCTAAAAAAGAGTTTCTGCTTGACTTCTTATGGAGTGAAGTCTTTCTGCTGCAAATGAAACAATTTTCCGCTGGTAGGGAATATTGTTCAGCTCTTTTAAACTTACTCTTTCATAGCATCAAGTAATGATAATTTCGATTCAGTTGATGATACTTGTTGTAAGAATTCGATTGCTTGCGACTTACTCAACGTATCATAGGACTGTAAAACAGAAAATATGAAAATCATCATTTTTTTTCCTTATAATTACTTCAATAATCATTTTTGCATATGAATGTTCTTTGATATTATCATTAAGTAGTTCACATGTTCGTTTAGGATCATATGAAAAATTTTTGTCGATCGAACATTGTTGTTTCAATGAATTTAACTGATTAAAGGGTGTCGGGACATTTCTCATAAAGAATTGATTCGAACTCGACATTGAATAATTGAGACTTAGAAGAAATGAAACAGTATCAAATATACATGTTAACAAAAATCAAAAAAAAAAAGATCTCACAATAGTGGAAAATAGATAAACAAATGCGATGTACGAAAGTAAAACATGGAAGCGCGCCAGTATTGTACGAATAAAAATTTTTTTCAATATAAAAAATAAAGAAATATTACCAATTTTAAGTGTCATCACCTATATCTCTCAAAAATGGGCCAATAACACATGTGATAAAATTATGGAATTCGTAAGAGTGCAACTTATAAACAATGATTACTATCACTATAATAGAATAGGAGTCCAGTAGAGAAATGCAAAAGCATTTTATGCACTATGACCTATACCTTAACCCATCTGTTTATTGATTGATTATTTTTCAATCAATTACAGAAAGATCAGTCTAAAAAAACAGGGTTGGACAACCGTTCGATCGGTGAGATAAATGAAAATTTGAAGCAGAATTCAACCGTTCAGATCAAAAATACACTGTCGTACAAGATTAACTTAGACAAACGAAACAACACACATGTGAAAAATGCAAAATGATAGGAGAAATGAGACTTCTCATAAGAAAAATAACTAGGAATAATGTTTCAATCATTTTTCTATGAGAAAAATACTCTAGTTAAAGTTTATTTATACACTTACATTCTCAGCAAAAAAATAAAAATCCATAAGAGAAATGTGACTTTTCGTCGAAAAAATGACTGAGAAAAATGCCGAGATCATTTTTCCAATGAAAAAAATACTTTGGTTTATATTCATGTATTTTCATGCTTCGTGAAATGGAAAAGTAAAATGCAAGGTAAATGACTGATTCTCCTTAGGAAAAGGCATCACTAGATATCAAGCAATGATTGAAGTTAAAAGAAAGGCTGTTCACTTTACCGTTGTATCGTGCATATGATAATATGAAGGTTTAGCATTAAAGTGTTTTGTTATCGGCAGAGCAAAAAAAGAAAATTTCTGATTTTATGTGTAACTAAGAGGCAAGAGATTGCATCGAAGGGGATGGACAAAGCATTTTGAAACAAGAATACATCAGTTCGTACACAGAAGTTAATGCATTCATGCATTATTCCACTGGATTTTCATTTTATCAAATGGAATGTATGTGTTTATTGATTCATTGATTCACCTTTAGATCGATATGCATCATGATTAGGTGTACTGGTCCGGTATCACTGTTATATTTTTCTTGGTATGGAAGATCACATTTTTGACCTGAACGGCATCTCTCCACTGAAAATAATCATTTTTTCTATCGATCATATTATTGTCCACTGCCGCCGAAGACTACGAGAATTTCTCGAGCTTTCAGCTCTACATCCAGTGGGCATGCCATCATAAAGACATGTTACTAGATTCTAGTAATATCAGGACGATGACATCGATCTCACCGATTTCAACTACCTCATCTTCTCCGCGTCTTCCTCCTCAATCTTTTCCAACTTTGATATATACGACCCACTGATCCAACAATTCAACGGCAAAACCAATTTAAGGATTACCTCATATCGAGGAAACGTTTCAGCGTAATCCAGAAGGTATTAAAATATGCAGCATAGACCAACGACTATAATGAAGAACAGCAAACCTAACCACAGGAGGTCGATTATAATATTCAGAATCCAAGACAAACAACTTTAGACTGTTCCTAGATTGGCACTGACTCTGAGAAACAGCAACATGTCAGTCACACTGTTTGTAACCGTTCGTGGATCCAGGCTTTTCTCATATACTTCAGCACACGATACATCTCACGTTTCAATGAAATACAATCTCGAATCATCTATACAAAACTCGACAGCCACTGAACCACATTAGTCATCCTTCAAACAAACGAATCACACGCACGAAATTTTACATGTCCCAAAAAGCACGTCACAAGACATAATAATATTAACCACACGAGAAGATACGGTTCGTAGAATCGAACACTAGGTGAACTTATCTATAAAAATCCGCCTATACTAATACACAACTCGTCGAAAAAATAACACATTGTCGGTTGAAAAGTGTATTCGAAAAAAACCTGTCAGTTTCAATTTCTTCGAAACCTCCCATCTAACTACATATTCAGTATTTTCGTCAGCTATAGCACATAAAAACAATACAAAGTGTCATCATTCTGGATAGATTTCTTGATGCAAACAACTCTCGATCTAGCTAACCACCTATCAGTGCCCTTGCACTCGTCGCCATCGGCGTGACACGACCCGTTGATGATAGTTTTCCTGTAGATATCTTGAGTGGCATTGAGGTCATCGATAAGATTCCAGCTGGTCCAACTGTTCCTACATTTGGACGTGTTGATGCTTGTGGACCTGTTGATGATAGTTTTCCTGTAGATATCTTGAGTGGCATTGAGGTCATCGATAAGATTCCAGCTGGTCCAACTGTTCCTACATTTGGACGTGTTGATGCTTGTGGACCTGTTGATGATGGTTTTCCTGTAGATATCTTGAGTGGCATTGAGGTCATCGATAAGATTCCAGCTGGTCCAACTGTTCCTACATTTGGACGTGTTGATGCTTGTGGACCTGTTGATGATGGTTTTCCTGTAGATATCTTGAGTGTCATTGAGGTCACCGATAAGATTCTAACTGGTCCAACTGTTCCTACATTTGGACGTGTTGATGCTTGTGGACCTGTTGATGATGGTCTTCCTGTAGACATCTTCGGTGGCATTGAGGTCATCGATAAGATTCCAGCTGGTCCAACTGTTATCACATTTGGACGTGTTGATGCTTGCGGACCTGATGATGATGGTCTTC